GGGGGGGGGGCCGGCCGGACCGGGATCATATATACCTTAATTAAAAGGTATGAGCTCTCTGGGGAGCATGTGGAATCGGCTCACGGCCTTGTACATCTTGGGGTTCAGCCCAGCCCCGTCCGAGGATTCCACGTGAAACCACACTTCTGCCACGCTGCCTGGGCTGTTGCTCAGGAACCAAACATAAGATGCCATAGCACGGGCTAATCGGAATACGCGCAAGGTTCATGATCACGATCCTTAATTTAGAGAACCCTAAACCCAAAACCCCAAACCCCAAACCCTGAACCCTAAACCCCCACTGAGAAAAAGGGAGAAGAGCCAAGCTGCCGGCGACCCGTCGGCCCCTTTGGCCATGCCGGGCAGCCAGCTGACGCATGGGATCGCTTGCGACGCCGATGCACGTCATCCGCTCACCGTCCGCCTACGGTTTAGGGTTTAGGGTTTAGGGTTTAGGGTGCCTTGTAAGCCACAGAAAGGCTCTTTATAGAAGCCGGTCTGATAGCACGCTACAGCATATTAGGGTATGTACTAGGGCCTACTAGGGTATATGAAAGCATGCTATAGTCTACAGTTGTGTATCTTAAAAGCCCTAAAGCGCTTTGGAAGACCTATGGTACCCTCAGGAACTGGATAGCATCCGCCTTGTCGACCAAGACATCACCAGACTTGAACGGCATGCGAAAGTGTTGAAGAATCTCCTCACGAACGTCGAAGTGGAGCACTTGCCCCGACTTTGAAAGATATTTTAGCGTAGGCTTCAGGTTCTGACCCACCCATTCACGCTCATCATGATCGATCTCGCCGTCCGAAGCACCTTCGACATCCTCACGGCTTATCTCTTGCAGGCGCTTGTGCGCAACTTTGCGAAGGCAGCGATCATGATTTGGGTGCGTAAAGAGACCTGCGCCGTCTCTGCCGTTGCAGTGAAACCACATGTCCACCTTCTTGGCATCTGCACGGTACTTCAAGCCAACGCACGTGGCTCTGTCCCCATCCTTGTCTTCGACAACATCGCCAGGTTTGAACCCAGCCACCTTCTCACATGCTTCCACGCGGGTGTCAAACAGGGCATAGTGGGAGAACCTCGTGCCACAGCGATAGCCAAAATTGCAGCGCAGATGGTGCAACTGAATCTCACCCTTTGGCACCTCTCGAAGGGCTCGTGCAGCTTGGGCATCGGCGATGGCCGCGGCGAAAACGAGTTCGGCTGAGTGACGCTCAGGCGTCCCCATTCGATAGCTCCTTCTGCGTCCCGTGACCTGCCATTGCACCTTGACCCATCCAGGCCTGGGCGCACTCGTTCCGAAGGCCTCTCCGGAAGCAGAACACCAGGCAACAACTTTGCCAACACCTTGGGCTTTCAGATAATACGGGCACCTTCTTCGGGGGGGTCCTTATCAGGAGGATCCCAGTATTCCGGTGTATTTCGAAGCTATGCTAGTCCCAGGCTTCCGGAAACTCCCACCTTGGGGTCCTCCGTCTTCTGGTGTCATGTCATCGTCACTGTCACCATCGTAACACCAGTCCGGGCCACGCTCCACGAGCATGTCAAGCGCCACCAACTCCTCTACAACAGCCTCGCCAGTCAGACAAGACTGACGCCACTTGCGAAACTTCTTCTTGTCTCCCAGAGTTGGCAGCCTCTCCTCGATATCTCTGTTTCGCATGACCTGTGGCAGGACGGATGCAAAAGAGAGAGAGAGAGAGAGAGAGAGAGAGAGCTGAAGTCAGGCAAAGACTTGGGGGGGGGGGCCATGCGACAGACGCGCCCAGGAACCGTGCACAAGATCTGAGGCATGCAGTGCGCAGGCAGGTCCCAACCGTTGCACATCCCAGCGTGCACGTTCCAAGGAGCAGCTGGACAAGAAACGCCCGAGGCTGTGCTTCATCCCTTAGGTTTTAGACTCTCGCAACGCGGGCAATGCCCTAAGGTTTAAGGCTTTGGAGTTGAGGGTTTAAGGTTTGAGGGTTTGGAGTTTAGGGTTTAAGGCTTTAGGGTTCGGAGTTTAGGGTTTAAGGCTTCAGGGTTGTTTTTTCCCATCTCAAACTGACGTTGGCACTTGAAGCTGCCTCTAGCGCAACCACTTTTGGGACGCGGCTTGGGCACCCCGTTGACTCTCTTGAGTGTCAGACGGATCGGTGCAACACCGTCTGTAGCCACAGCGAGACATCGCACATCAGAATGTGTATCTCTTGGACAAATGTGGTCTGCCCCTAAACCCTAAACCCCAAACCCTAAACCGCGTTGATTTCAGTTAGCTTGTTGCTGGGATCCTCGTGATCTGATCGGCAGCACATCGGTGCGGCTCCAGACGTTCTTTGTTGCAGTCTGCATGTAGGAAGAGTCACAAGTCGAAGGAGGGTTTAGGGTTTAGGGCCATGGGAGAAGATAAATGGGAGCAATTAACCAGAAGTTCATGCATGCCGGTGTTCGGACACATGAGATGCAAGCTTTCAAAATCGCGAAGTACCGGGACTCAAGTAACGAAACAGGTTATGCTATGCGATCTTGAGCTCCGGAAGGCCCGCATGAATAGAAGACACAGAGCTCGATGGCAATAACCAAACGGGTCATCAACAATTACCCTAAAGATTGACTAAGGATGTACTGTACTGTACCTCGAATTCACGCCCCGCTTGCCCCCCCAAGAGCCTGCTCCTCAGAAAGGCCCTCAAAGACGTCTGCTGTCAAGCCCAACATCCTCAACTTGTCCTTGGTTCCGGCCGGAGAGTGAACCAAGTTTCTCAACTGTCAGACCAATGTTGGGTTTGGTGTTTAAGAACACAACCAGCTTAAAGGTTGGGCATAGGAGTCATCATTCTCACTCCTGTAAGCCCTTTCAAGGAAACTCTGAAGGTCTAAGACCCAAAGGCCCTTCATATGACAGCCACATCGAAAGCTTTGCAAAGAATTACCGGGGCGTCCTTAAAGTCCGTCTCTTCCCTGCCCGACGGCCCCATCTTCACCACTTGGAGCAGACGTTCGCGCGCAGCCGGATCAAAGCCTATAGCGGCCAAATCTGCATCTTCCAAATCCTCCGAGGCATCCGAAATTTAGGTGTTCAGGGCTTAATTTAGGGTTTAGGGTTCAGGGTTTAGGGATGTTTAGTGCTTAGGGCTTTGAGGGGGTTGTGGGAGCAGGGATCCAGAATCGCCGGAGACGTCTGCAATCCTTGCATCCAGAAAGGTTACCTTACCCCCAAAGGAACCTACCTTTTCAAGGACTTATATGAAGAAACTATAAGAAAAGGAACCCGAAAAAGGTAGGTTGTTTGGGGTTCAGGTAAGGATTTACCTATACTTTTTGGGGGCTCCTTCTTATAATTATAGTATAAGGGGCCCCAAAACCCTCTTCTAATTACTAAGGCCTCTGTCCTCGGGCTTACTTGGAGGTTCATGGGTAGCTATAAGTGGGTTTATAAGTTCCCTAATATGGGCTATGAATTATAGTTACCCTACTTATGACTCCTTATAGTAACCCTTATCCCTGAACCCCAAACCCTTAAAGTAGCCCTTATAGAACCCTTTGAAGGAACCCTTTTTGAAGGAACCCCCCAAAACCCTAAACTCTTATAGCAGCCTGTAAAGGAACCGTTTAAAGGAACCGGGTTCGGGCTTCATTCTGGACGGTTTCGGCGCTCACACTCGACGCGAGGCATTTGTACTTGGAGGCCCAGGGGACTTAGCAAGTCGGTTAGGGTTTAGGGTTTAGGGCTTAGGGTTTAGGGTTTATTAGCGTTTGGGGTGTAGGGTTTAGGTTATGATTGGGGTAACTCCAGTTAGGGTACTTGTAACTCTACTTATAAGCTACTTACTAAGTCCCCTGGGCCTCCCGCCTTACGAAACGACTTTGATTCGGGTACGTTGTGGTAGGATATGGAGGGATTCGCAGTATTGGATGATTAGTTCAGAGATTTCCTTTGGGGGGAATCTCCAGGTCCTCAAGATCTTCGAAAGTACAGACGCCTTGCTCCTCCAACTTGTCGATGTAATCCGCCAGCCCAGCCGTCCGTAGAAAGTCTGCCCCGCTTCTTACTTTGCCATCCTCGAGCAAGAACATCTCCACTTGCTTGAGAACCCATGCCATCATCTTCTCCCGCACTTTCGCATTCACCGCATCGAAACCGGCTCCTTTCTTGATGTGCTCTTTGACCATGTCTTCGTCCTTTTTCTCACGGGCCTTGGCATGCTCCACATTTACTTCCTGGAACTTCTTTCGAATGTCATCCCAAACACCAGAGGCGATCTTCGTGCGAATGTCAGCCGCCTGGTCGGGTGGCAACATGATGTCAACAGTGACTCTGTCGGAGTTCGCCGCCGCTGTGTACATCTCCTTAGGCCCCTGCCAACTGCGATGGCCTGCAACCTAAACAACCTCCGAAGGCCTGTCACGAGAGAAAAGTCCGGCCAACACTTCTGAGCGGCATAGACGCACCACACACGCTCCAGGTACTTGGGCTGCATGAACTTATCAAGCATCACCACCATCTGCTGGATGTCAAGTAAGCGGGCTTGAAAGATGTCGCCAAGACTTTCATCTGTCACTTGTTGGCCTTCTTGGAGACGATACTGGTTGTTGCAGAAGAAGCACTGCCAAATGAAGGCTTCCGTATGGGAATGCTGAGAACACCACTGCCTCCATGTCTGTAGATACATCTGCAAACGATAATCCCAGCACCAGGATAAGAAGTGAGAAGCTCTCTGCGCATCACTCGCGGCCAGTGCATCCACCATGCTGCAATGAAGCCTCCCGTCACGAGGGCACCGCTGGTTGTAACCCAGGCCAGTTTTGCTCAACGCCAAAGTCTTACTCATTTCATGAAACGTCGGATCGTCGAGACCTGTGCTTCGCTGAGCTTGACGCGGAAAGCCCTCCAACAAATATCCCAGGCGGGCTCCCAGGAGCTTGGAACTCGCGGAGTTTATCTCTAGCTCCGCCGGATCATCCGTTCCTGCAGGTGACGAGACATGTCGAAAGGTAGCTATAAAACACCCCTTCTAAATATGAACATCCGCAAAAAACACTTTGGAGAACACCTTAAGCTACATGGCCAGGTTGCAGGTCGTTTGCACAGTCATTCTAGATGAGGGAAAATTATGTTTGCACTGATTATCGCCAAACCATGTAATCCAGGTCAACAGACGATGAACCCGATGCCAATATCACCCAAAACCCACCTGCGTCAAATGGCAGGGGCACGCTGTACAAATACAAAGGGCCTGACCCAGCATATCTCAAAATCCGTGCTTCGTGATCGAGGATTGACACCAAGTCTGGCACTGCAACGGCGACCGGACGAACATTTTGGAACCCAGAGAGCCCAATACCCCTTAAATAAGCAATATGCCTTAAACTATAACTATAGGGGCCTTAATATTATTATTTAAGCTATATTCCTTAATTAAGGGGTATTGGGCGCTCTGGGATTTTGGAACAGGCAGGCGTCAGATTCAGGCGCCAATAACTTCGGCACATAGCTAGAGTCGCTTATAAATGGGAGTTTCCGAAAATAAGGGGTACCATATTTTGGGGTCCTTATAATACGGGACCTACTATTTAGGGTGCTATATTAGGGTCCCCTATTTTCGGAAACTCCCAACTCAATCCGTCCGAGAACACACTCGCCCGAGGGGCTTCCGCACACCTGCAAGCGCTAAGCATATGGGTAGTTGTCAACATGATGGTCCCCTTTGGGGTACCCTAAATAATAAGCGCCGTATTATAATAAGGACCGCAAAAGGGACCATAATTTTGACAACCGCCCATATGCACTCCCGCCACCTCAGAAATTTCGTAAAAAGCGTGGATTCCTATCATTCTGGAAGTTGACATCGGCAGAAACTCGGGCTAGAAGGGCAGTTGGCATTGCACCTTAAAGAGATTCCGTGACTTTCCTGTGGCCGCCGGGAACCGAAATCTGCCAGAGAGAAGAAACTTTGAGTGGGTCTTACTAACTAGCTGGTATGACCCATGGCAGTACCCGCAAGAACAACCACGAACTATTTGAGACAGCGCCCTTGTGAGTGCAGTTATACAAGAGGAGTTAGTCTGTACCAATGGACAATACATGCACATCCGCATTCCTCAGGTCCCACTGACAAGGCGGTACAAACAACGCCGATGTTTAGCCCCTGCATAGTACTCGCTACGACGAAGCGGTCACGATGTCTAGAAGCTCGCACAACTCCCACCAAACTGGTCTGGCACAGACAGGGTTGGACGGTTTCAACCCTCGAGCCCTTTGAAGTCTTTCTGAAATGTCTTTTGCGGTTTTTCATGGCCTTAAAGCCGTGATGCTGATCCCTCGAACCCTTTTGTCAACCCATTTTTTTGAGCAGGGGCTGCAGCGCACATTGCCCTCTGTTGTCAACCCATGAGCCTTAATCGTCTTGAATTCCAAACCCTCAACCCCAGGCTAACAAATCTGCACTGCTAGGGTTGCTTATGACGGGATTCCCTGACGCAAAACGCCAATTTTTTTCTTTTGACCCCTGGAGCCCTGGTGTCCTGCGGCGATCTGCGGCTCCGGTGCTGGTGGCACGGGCGGCGCTGGTGCGCTTTTCGGCGTTGAGACCATGTCGGCGGGGCTCCGAGCTTGCCTGTGCTGGGCTTGGGGACTAGGAGCTTAGGGTTTAGGCGGTTTGGGTTTAAGGTTTAGGGTTTAGGCGGTTTCGGGTTTAGGGTTCTTGTATTGTTGAAGTTTTAGGGTTTTGAAAATTGTACTTTTTTTTTGCGCTCCTTGGGTTTGTGGAGGTTATACTACTGCTGTAATTCAAGGGTTTTTCTCTGTAATTCTATAGGGTTTAAGTCTTGAGGTCATGGGTTCAGAGTTCAGGGCTTAGGGTTATCCTTCTAGGTTTCAAGGTTTCGAGGTATAGCCATGCGCTTCAACATAGGGAAAGGATGAGGGTTTAAGAACTTGCTTGGACGGTCCCGCTTCAACCATGTGCTGAGGTCTGGGAACCTCTTGGGTCTATTTACCTGGAGGTTCATGGGTGGCTATGAGTGGGGTTACAAGTAGGGTATACTTATAACCCAGAGTGGGGGACTTATAACCACACTATAGCACATTTATAGCTACCCCTGAACCTCCCTGTACTGTCTGAGGCGTGCTTTAAGGTACGGGTTTTATTGGTGGGTTTGGTGTAGGATCGGGGCTTCGGAATTCGGAAAGGGTGTTGTTTGAGGGTCCCTTCCTTGGCGAGTCCTACGATATCAAAGAATCTTCGGGCTTCTATGTTCAGGTGCCCTCCTTCCCCGAGACGTCATTGCTTGAGACTTGAAAACCTCGACAACTCTCCCATGTCTCAACATGATGCCCGTCTACAACTAAGATATGGGTGGTTGTCAAAATTATGGTCCTTTTTCGGTTCCTTATTATAATACGGCACCTATTTTTTAGGGTACCCCAAAAAGGACCATAATTTTGACAACTACCCATATAATATTGCTGACTACTAGCACCGAAAGGTCCCTCCATGTCGTCCAGTGGCTCCCTGGCTTGCTTGAGCTCGCCCCGAAGCGTCTCGTTGTTTTGGGCTCCTCTCAACAGGGCGCTCTCCACCTTCTCGTCTTTGGCGAGGACTGCCACTCGCATAGCGGCGGCTTCGACTTTGACCCGCAGCAGCGTATTCGCCTTGAGGTAGGCCGGGTGTTGCTTCGGAGATCTTGGACTAGTAGATGCGCGCGCACCACTCTTGCCCTCTCCGCTTTCCTTTATGAGCTGACGCAAGATCGCCTCCTCGTCCTCTTGGAGGGTTGCGCAACTTGTGTCGATCGCTATCGGTCTGTTGAATGCAAAGGCGCTGAGTGGAAATTTGGCATCGCATGATCTTCGCTCGTTTTCTGATTCAGTGACCACTGGATGGTCGGACAGCGAAAATGCTGTCGACTCGCACGTTTTAGACTCCTCCACTGTAATGAAGCTCGTGTGCACCGTTTCACCCCCATGTGTTGTGGATGCGAGGATTTCGGAAAGACACCACATTCTTCTCCAAACTTCACGCTGTGAGTCTATGTGCACTGCAATGCCATACAAGTGCCTCGATCCGAAGACAGCCGGAAGAACCACGTCAGGAGCATGAGAAACATCATCATGCTGGTACAAGCAGTACGCTGCGACCCAACAAGAAGTCGCGTCGGTCTCACCATGTCTGTCAAGCAGGTGCCGCAAACCCAGCACTAACGAAGCGTGGCTGATGGACCAAGGATGACACGAAAACCAGCTAGGCGGGCTCACCATGTCCTCGTATTTCACTTCGACATAGCTACGTTTCTTGCCTTTCGTCTCGGGCTTGATGAAATTTCTCACGACCTGCTGAACCGAAGGCTTGGAGTTTGTCACCTGTCATGTGTTGAGTCGGCAAAGCACTGCACAAACGCTCAAGAAGAGCAGAAACTCACATGGCATCCGATGCGCCTGTGGCCAACATTCCTTCTCATAGCGGTCTTGCACCACGGAGTCCACCTGCTCCAAAGAAAAACATGCGAGCTTTCTGGGGTTCGGGGTTGACGGACCTCTAGCAGCTGCAGGATTGTGATGCCCAGCCGTTCACAACCCTGCTTGCGCTGACGGTTGCGAGTTGACGCAGCGCTCCCCATGGCAGCTCGACGGTGACTGTTGCTTGAGAACGAGCGGATGTTAAAGTACATTAGTGTACCACGCTATTGAACGCTTTTGCTAAATGCTCACGAGATGTTGCATTTCCACTATCAGTTTCTTCGGACTGCGATTTTTACCACAAATTCCTCGGAGAGACTTCATGTATGCATGGAACGTGCAGCACAGCTTGGTTAGCAGAGCAAAGCCACAAGTTATGCATGGAAACATGGGAAAGAAAACGAATTTATCATGGGAGACATCGTGCTGCAGATTGTGCTGGTATTGTGTTATAGGCCAACACACTGCACGATCATGCTGTCACGCGTCCAAGTGACATTCACCCACATTCAGTTGCCCTGCGCACGCTCCCACCTTCGGAAGTAGAGCCGTACGCACGCGGACATGACCAGGCNNTCTGGGGGGCTCTCCAGCAATGCTTGGGCGGCGTGCCACCGGCGGATGCGGGGCAGGCTTGGCCGCTCGCATCCCTATACCGGCCATCTACGGCGGGCTCGATTGCAGTCGGCTGAACGGGCAGCGCCGGCTGCATACCGGGCAGCGTGGATGGACGCACTGCCTGTCATCTGCTCCCGCCTCCCGCAGTCCGCTGCCAGATGTCTGGAGGGCTTTGGAGCAGAGCCACAGTGCCGGACTGGCCTCCTCCTGCGAGAGGCATCTGCAGCGCGCAACCTCCTACTAGCCGAATCATGGGATCGCTGCTCCACGTGGCGCGAAGCCTATGACGGCGCCGCCCACCACGCCCCAGTGACGCAGGCCCGGGAGACTGGCCGCACGGCTGGCAACATCATGCGACGCGGACGCGGAACCTCGGAACTTTACTATCGCGATCGCGTGTTGTTGCCGGCCCTGCCACCGGCTTCCAGGGCGCTGCTGCGCTCGCAAGGCGGTCCGCATGGTGGGG